ACTGACTTATTTCTCTGCTTATTTTTATTTATTTATTTTTGCATGCTTTTTTGGAGGATCTCAAATGGAAAGCGTTGGGTAGTCATAATCTTCTTTTCAAAGCACATATTCCTTGTTGGACTATGCAAAGCCTCAGGATGTCTGTATTTTCTTATACCTCTCACTTCCCACTGCCTCTCCTCACTCTTCCTTCCTTCTGATCCAGTCTTTGTGACACGTTTGTTACATATCTGTGGGTTTGTTTTTCCTTATAGATCACACAGAATTATTTTGTGTGTTATTGTATTTTTTTAATTACATAATTTGTGGTGTGCTCTTGACCCAGTAGTTCATTGCTTCCCACTGCTGCACAGTACTGCATGGTGTACATCCACCATTGTTCCAAATCCACTCCCTCAAGTTAAACCTGATTCTGAACCACCAGAATCAGTATGGTAGTAAACAGCTTAGTATGTGTAAATTTAGGGACTTGTGCAAATGCTGCTTTGGCTGCTTTGGGTCTGTTTTCTCAACAGTAGGATTGTTGAATCATAGCATGTATATGTACTTAATCTGATTGCCAGTTACCCTCTAGAACAACTTGGCCAATTTATGTCTATACCCAGTAGGACATGAGGATTTTTATTCATTTGCCATTCTGTTGGTTATGCTGCAATATATGTTTCTCATTTTTTCTGAATGATAAGGCATAAAATGGCATCTTATTATTTTTAATTTGAATTTTCCTGATTTCTAATGAATTTAAGCATCTCTTTATATATTTGCTAGCTGGCTGGGGATGTAGCTCAGTGGTAGAACACTTGCCTAGTATGCATAAGGCCCTGGGTTTGTTCTCCAGCAACAACAACAACCAAATAACCATTCAGGTTTCTAGTGATTTTTTTTTTTTAAGTCTCCTTATGCACTTTTCTATTTGGAGTCCTGTCTTTTTCTTACTAATTTGTATGTTCCTCATGTAATCTGTGCTTCTCAAACCCTGATGTGCACACAGATCACCTGGGGGGTCTTGATAAGATTCAGATTATGACTCAGTAAAAGTAGAATGGGGCACAGGATTGTGCATTTAATATGTACAGGTGGTGCAGAAGGCTGTGGTTCTTGAACTATCCTTTGAGTACTCAGGTTCTAGATATTAACTAGAGACTTTGCAAAAGACTCAAATTTGTCACACTTTTGCTACCTTTGTTTAGATTCATGTAATCAAACACATCAATATTTTGCTGTATGGTTATGCTGTTGAGAGGACTTGTTTCAGAAGTCCTTCCTTATCCCTGGGTCACTAGGATTTTTCTTCTCTATTAACTTTATAGGTTTTGCTGTTGTTGAGCTAGAGTCTCACTGTGTTGCCCAGGTTGGTCTTGAACTCCTGGGCTCAAGTGATTTTCCTATACTCAGTCTATCTGAGTAGCTAGACTGCAGTGTCTAGCTACCTTTATAGTGTTATACCACACTTACGTATTTATTATATTTGAAGTTACCTTAGTTTTTTTTTTTTGGTGGGACTGGAGTTTGAACTCAGGGCTTCACTCTTGTAAAACAGGCACTTTACTGCTTGAGCTAAGCCTCTAGGCCCTGAAGTCACCTTTGTATTGGATATAGATTAGGTAACTGATACTTATTTTCTGCTTCATAGCAAGTTAGGTTTTTCAGTAACAAATAACCCAGTTTCTTTATTGGTTTGTGCTGCTACTTTCATCTTATTTCAAGCTCCAGGAAATCAATGTGTCTGCTCTCTGCTATCTGTTCTTCTCCTATGGTTCACATACATGCTCCTGGACCAGCATCATACAGCTTTTATGTTATAGCTCTGAAATACATTTTAGTACATGGAATGACCACTCTTACACCTTTGCTCTTCTTCTTTAAATATGACTTAGTTATTTGCCAATCTTTATCATTTTAGATAAATTTTATAATAAATTTGCTTAGCTTCTCAACAACTCTGGCTAAAATCTTGAATGGAACTGCATCTGATTTCCAATATTGAATTTGGAGGAGATTGATATTTTTACAATGTTAAGTTGTCCCATCTGTGAACAGGGATAGAGAGCCATTAATTCAGCTCTTTTATGTCTTTTAATAGAGTTTAAAGTTTTTTCTACAAACATAATTCTTTATGTTTAATATATGTACTTTACTGTTTTGTTGCCTTTGAGAACAGTATTTTATTTCTGTTATATTTCCTAGTTGGTTATTTCTGATATAGAGAAATGTCAGTAATTTTTATAAGCTGATTTTGCATTTCACAGTCCTGATGACCTTTATTTGTTCCTTTAATGTTTCCATGTAGATTATGATATTGTCTACAAATAACAACACTTTAATATTTTATTCCTGATTGCCCCTTTTAATTTGTCATTTATTTTATTTGAAATATTAGTAGACTACTTTCTGATCAGTTTTAGAGGTATAGAAAAATTCAGCAGAAAGTATAGAAAGTTCTCATATGCTCTGTCTTCCACTGCCCAAAAATTCCTCTGTCATTTAACATTGTGTGCTGGTGCCTCACATTTGTTTAGAACTGATGAATCAGCATTGATTCATGAAAAGTATTAATTGGAGTGGATAATCTATATTAATTTTCACTGTGTCAGCCAGTGGGTTTCTCCAAAAGCATAATGTCATGTATCCACTATTATGTATCATTCAGAATCGCTTCCCTGCTCTCACGAGCTCCTCTGGGATACATATATTCATCCTCACTCCCAATCCCTGTATCTTTGGTAACTACTGATCTATTTAGTGTCTCTCTTTTGGTGGTTCTGGGGTTTGAACTTATGGCTTCTCACTTGAGAGGCAGACACTCTGCCACTTGAGCTACACCTCAAGTCCTTTTTGCTCTGGTTATTTTGAAGATAGGGACTTGCTTTATGCCCAGGCCAGCCTGGATCCTATTTTACTCTTGATGCTGTCACTGGGATAACAGGTGCATGCCAACATGCCAAGCCTTTTCCCAGTGAGATGGGGTCTTGCAAACTTTTTTGTCCAAGCTGGTTTGGAGCAGTGATCCTCCTAATCTCAGCCTCCCATGTAGCGTGGGATAACAGGCACATGCCTCTGTGCTCAGTTATTGATTGAGATGGGTTCTCATGAACTTTTTGCCCAAACTGGCTTCAAACTACAATCCTCCTGATCTCAGCCTCTCAAGAAGTTAGGATGAACCACTGGTACCCAGTTGGTGTCTCTATAGTTTTCCAGAATGTCATCTGGTTGGAATCATACATGTAGTCTTTTCAGACTGACTGCTTTCATTAGCAATATGGACTTAAGGTATTCCATTTCTTTTCTGGGCTTGATAGTCCACTTCTTCTTGTTACTGAGTGAATTCATTTCATGGACATACCAGTTTGCTTATCCGTTCACCTATTGCAGGACATTTTGGTTCCTCCCAAGTTTTGTCAGTTGTGAATGAACCTGCTATAAATATTCATGTGCACGTTTTGATGTGGGGAAATATCTAGGAGTGTGATTGCTGGACTGAATGGTAAGGGTATGTTTAGTTTTATAAGAAAACACCAAACTGCCTTCTGAGGTGGCAGTAGCATCTTGTATTTGCAATAGCAATGACTGAGAGTTCCTGTTGCTCCACATCCTTGTCACCATTTGGTGTCAGTGATTTGGATGTTAGTCATCCTAACAGGCGGTAGTGGGATCTCATTGTTTTAATTTCTCTACTCACTAACAGCATTTTACACTGAGCAGACTTTGTATGGTTATTTGTCATCTGTGTATTTTTGGTTAAGTGTCTGTTCAGATCTTTTGCCTGCTTTTTAATTGGGTATTTTCTTATTGTTGAGTGTGGAGCATTCTCTTTTTATATTAGATACAAATCCTTTAGTAGATATGTGTTTTGCAAAGATTTTTTCTCAGGCTGACTTTTTCATTTTTTTAACCATGCCTTCTGCAGAATAGAAGTTTTTAATTTTAACAAGGTCAATTTGTCAAAATATCCCCCCCCATCGACTGGGCTTTTGGTGCTGGATCCAAAAACTCATTGCCAAACCCAAAGTGACCTAGGTTTTTTTTCTGTTTTCTTCTGGAAGTTCTATAGTTTTATATTTTGCATTTAGGTAAATGACCTATTTTCAGGTAATTTTTGTGAAGGGCGTAAGACTTGTATCTAGATTCAGTTTTTTTCCCATGGATATCCAGTGTTTCCAGCACTATTTGTTAAAAAGACTATCCTCTCTCCATTGAGTTGCTTTTACCTTTCTGTTAAAGATCAGTTGACTCCGGGTCTGTTTTTGGGCTCTCTATTTCATTCCACTGATCTATTATTTTTTTTTTCCTTACCAATATCACACTGTCTTGATTACTGTAGCTGCTTTGTAATTTGTCTTATAACCTTGCATTTATGAAAAAGGATTTGTGATAGATTGTAATTTCAGTTACACAGGAAATAGGACAATTTTAATAAAAAGATAAAGATTGTAAAAAAAAAAAAAAGTGAAAGTACTGAGTCTTCTGCCAAAGGCTCTATTCTTGAAAAAGCTAGAATACTCCTGACATGGAACAGCTGGGACAGAGTCATTACAGCAAAGTCTGCACTGGCTCGTGGACTTTTTACCTGCTGACATTAAGTTCACAACAGGGAAAATCATGGGTTTAGACAGGGGGGATACCAAGGGTGGGTTATTCTTTTTTTTTTTTTTAAATTTTAAAAATTTTTTTATTATTCATATGTGCATACAATGCTTGGGTCATTTCTCCCCCCTGCCCCCACCCCCTCCCTTAAGAGGGTGGGTTATTCTTAAGCATTACTGTTTTCCTTTGCATTTGTGGGGATTATTTATTTAGTTAGCATTGCATAGTTAATTGCATGCAGTTCATTGAAGATACATCTTAATAATTTAGCTATTTTGCTTTGACCCTCCATCGCCAGCACTGCAAAAAAAAAAAAATTTTGGCTATTTTAATAATTTAACCAGTAACAAACATTTGTTGAATGACACACAGATGTAAGTCTGACCATATTTTATTTTGGATTTCTTTTTTTTTAGGTCAATGATGCCTTCCTTCATGTGATTCAGCGCAGATCCACGGGCAAAGTGCTCCTCAGTCTTAAATAAATCCTCACCTCAGCACAACCTCAATGTCTAAATCCAAGCTTATCAGTCCTCCCTCCCCCAACCTGATTTCCTTCCCATGTTTCTAAAGCTTCCTTATTGACCACGTTTAAAATCTTAGAGTCAGTCACCTTTGGTTTGTCTTCTTATTGCTCATAATTAGTATGACCATAGAGATTATTGTCTAAACTTGGACAATATCAGTATTGTCCAAGGGTGATATCAGTAATTATGCTGGGAAAATGTGTCCCAGGCAAACCAGGAAGTATGGTTGCTCTGTTCAAAGTGCATGTTACTGAGTCTGTCATTCCCACTTCTAAGATGTCACTCTCCTCCATCCCTCTTTTCTACTCTAATTATGTCTCATCCAGTACTTCCAGTGACTACTATTTTGAATTGGCTTTCCCACCTTTAAGCTTCTCCCATCCCCTCCCATCTGAGTTACACACACTGCCCTGGTGACCTTCCCAAAACACAGCCCTGACTATGTTTTTTTCTCAGAAACCCTGCAGTGACTCACCACTGCCGACATGGAGAGTTCCGACCTTGAGCCCTTCCTGGCACTGTAGTCCACAATTCCCCTAGTCCCTAAGCAGACCTCTGCCTCCCTCATGGGGCTCTGCCCATGCAGTTTCCTTTGTCCTCATCTCTGTCAATCACAGGCCTTCCTCACCTCTAAGGTCTGTCTTCCCCAGGTGCCTTTATCCCTAGGAGAGTGGTGATCTCTCCCTCCCATCCTCTTCCCTCCCCTCCCTTGTCCTACCTTCCTGTAACTTCTCTCCCAGGATTTGTCACATTTTAACTTGTATTACAAGAAGCAGATGTGTGGTGGAATGAACATAGGCTTCTGAATCCAACATGTGGGCTCAAGTAACAGCCTCACCACTGTGCAGGTGGCTACCTAAGGGCTCTGCACTTCGTTTTTCTCGCTGTGGCATGGCTATTGCACTTTCTTCCTCCCAAATTGTGAGCAATATGTGCAGTGATTGGGCAAAGCACCTTACAGCTGGTGATCAATTAGCAAATGCTGGTAACTCACTTCTTTCTCACTTCCTTTCCAATGTATTGTCAGTTCCTTGAGAGCAGGTGTCATGTCCCATTCACCTTTGTGACTTCCCACACTTCCTACCCTGGTGAATTATCCTTGGTAAATGTGCAACTAATTGAATTGAATTTCAATTACCTGTAAATCTTTAGTTATGGAATTAAATGAAGAATATGTTGTCCTGGAAACAACCCAAATGTCTATCGACAAGTGAGTGGATAAATAAAATGGTATATGCCTACAATGGAATATTGTTCAGTGTTAAAAGAGATACAGTTCTGGTACATGCTACAACATGGATGAGCCCTGGGGACATTCTTTGTGAAATAAGCCAGACACAAAAACACAAATATTCTATGGTTCTACCTAAATGAGATAACTAGAATTGTCAAACTCATGGAGACAGAAATGATGGCTGCCAGGGACCCTCTGGGAGTAGATTTTGGTAAACTGGCCCTCTGCTTTCAGGGGAAAATGGGGAGTTATTAATGGGTGTAGAATTCCAGTTTGGGAAGACAAGTTTTGCAGGGAGATGGTGATGATGCTTGTTCTATACTGGAATATACATAATGCTACTTACTTAAAAATCATTAAAATGAAAAAAAGTAGTTAAAATGGTAAATTTAATGTTATGTATCTTTTATCATAATAAAAAAGTTACACTGGCTGTGGTGGTTTGTGGCTGTAATCCCAGCTATGAGGGAAGTGGTGATTGGGAGGATCATGGTTTGAGGCCAGCCTGGTGAAAAGGTAGCGAGACCTCTCCCCACCCACCTCAACAAACAAGCCTGGCAAAGTGCTTTTTCTTAAACCTTGCATATGGCAGTGCACGCCTGTAATTCTAGCTACATGAGAAGGATAAGTAGGGGGATTATAGTCCAAAGCAGGGCCATGGGCAAAAGTGAGACCCTATCTGAAAAAATAACTAAAGTAAAAATGATTGGAGGGTTGGCTAAAGTGGTGGAGTGCTTGCCAACAAGTGCAAGGCCCTGATTTCAAACCCTAGTATCACCAAAAAAAAAAAAAAAAGTTTAAAAATGTTACCCTTACTTTTAAGTGAACCGATTCAAGGAAGAGAACGGAGTGTATATAGTGCTTAGTTCAGATTGAAGGAAGCTCCAAGGTCTGCCTGAGTCCTGGTCTGTGGAGTGAGGTCCTATATTTTTGCTTGATGCTGACACTGTACAGATGGTCCTTGACCATGATGGTTTCACTTGGGATTTTTCCATCTTATGATGGTGTCAAAGTGATGGACATTTAGTGGAATGTCTTACTTTGAGTTTTGATTCTCCTGGGCCAGTAGTATGCAGTGCATTCTTCTCTCCTGATGCTGGGCAGTGGCAGCAAGCCACAGCTCCCAGTCACCAGATCCCAAGGGCAAACAGTGGGCACTCCTAGGGTTACTGAGTTACTAAGCTGTGATGTTAGGTAGGCAAGATGTATTTGACTTATGGTATTTTCAACTTGCCCTGGATTTATTGAGACCTAACCTCACTGTAGGTCAAGTAGCATCTGTACTGTATTCCTCCTTGTTCATGACTGATGATTGTGTAAAAGGAGAGGGTGAGATGGGGATAAAAACAGGCATGTGACACAAGAGGGATGTGGGTACTTTGGTTTTTAGTATTTTTTCATTTTTGGTGGTACCTGGGTTTGGACTCAGGATCTCATGCTTGCTGGGTGGGCACTGTACAAATTGAGTCACACCCCCAGCCTTTTTTGCTTTAGTTATTTTTCAGATAGTGTTTTTGTCCCAGCTGGCCTTGGACCATGATCCTCCTACCTCTGCTTCCTACATGGCTGGCCTGTGCCACTATGCCTGGCTTGTTTGTTGAGATAAGGTCTCCCTAAGTTATTGCCTTAACCCACGATCTCCCCATTTCCACCTCCGAAGTAGATGGGATTACAGGTGTGAGCCACCGCACCTAGCCCTACTTCTGGCTGGGATTCTCTACCAAGAAATATGGTAAGATGCTGTTTTCTGATAACTACCTCAGACCTGGCTTCTCAGGCTCTCTTCACCAAAAGAAAAAAATTTTTAAAGACTAGAATTGTAAAATTAGGATGAACATTTGGGGAAACAATTAGAAACTTAGAAAATAATAGAAAGGAGGTAGGAGGGAAAGATGGCATGGACATTGTGCTTATGTCTGTCATGGGTCCACGAGATGCTTCCACGTGGGCCCTGGCATGGTACGTTCCAGTCTCTGGGAGCTTCCTGCCCTGTGGTTCTTTTAATGATATGCCTATGCCTCTCCTTCCCTCCCCTTGCCCAACTCCACTTCGTCTTCACAGGAGCTATTTTTATACTTAAACGAAAGTTGTTTTTCGAGAAACTCAATGTTGAGGGTAATTTTAGCATTTTCTGATACCCTTTGGCAACACTGAAGACATGCTGGATGGGCCCTGAGAGAGAAGACAAATCAGGATTAGGTGGAGCGCACGAGCCCAGCCAGGGGTTGCCTTTTCCTCTGTGCAGAGCTGATCAGTTTGTGTCACAAGCAACGATCTCAAGTCCCAGTTCACGAATGTCAAAATGACTCAGATGGAAAGAGGCAGTCATTGAGGAGAGTGCATTTCTTTAGATTTAACAAGTATTGGTTAGAACCCCTATCGGCCTGCTCCCTGCTTGCCTATCTTCCTGCTTCATTGAAGTTATTTGATTTGAAAGTATTTGACTCATATTTTAGTCATTGTTTGGTGGTTCTACCATCTGAGCCATTAGTCTGAAAAAAGAATCAGTGCGGCCCCAAGTGACAGTATTTATTCTAAATTCACAGACTTTTCCGAGCTCTTCCTCGTAGGCTGGCTGCTGGAGAAATCACTCCCACACACCTGCCTCTCCTGTCCCCCTGCACATGTCTCTCTCAACAGCCAAAGGGAGCTTTTCTGCCATTAGCCATGGGACGATCCTATCTACTTCTTGCCAGTGTATTTGACCTTGCTCCTTCCTCTGTGATCTGTGGGAATTTAGAAAGCTATCTTTTCCTATTTGGATCATGGTAAAGACAATAAAAGCTTTGTTATTTGACGAGTGAAGGGAAATAGAGGTGCTTTCAAATGATCACTTGTATTTAATAAAAAGCCAAAGTAAACTAAGAAAAAAATTCATGCTGTTATTTCCTTGTCTTATTTTCCCCTCTGAGCTTGTACTTTAAATTCTGGTCTTCTTCCTCAGTCCACCTGCTACTTTTCATCTGTTACACTCCTCAGCTAGCTAGTCCATGAGTTCCATTAGGTTTTATAGCTACATTCAGCAAAAAGACAGGGTGGGATGTGCTCACTCCATTTTACCCAGAACTGATAGCATGTCATGATTGCTGTTATGGGCTGAGTGTTTTGTGTCCTCTCAAAGTTTAAGCCCTAACCCTCCCATGTAATGGCCTTTGAGGATGGGCTTTGGGGGGTAATTAGGGTTGAAGGAGAATCTAAGAGTAGTGGTTTTGCAAAACTTTTTTGTTTATAAAAGTCATTTGAGGGGAAGACCTAATTAAATCCTGGCATTTGCAGTTGTTCCCTTTATCGTAGAACTTGTTATAGAACCATCATAGACATGTGCTGGTTCCTGGAGGTTTTTCATTGCGAGGAATCATATATAAAGTGGATTTTTTTGTTTTGTTTCGCTTTTTACTGTATTTAGAAATGGTAAGTTTTCTGAGCTTTAGTGAATTGTATCAGTGTTTTTAAAATGGCATTGCTAATATAATTATAATAATATCACATGGTCACTGAAAAAGTCAAACCACACAGAAGTTTATGAGTAGAAATCATTATCCTATTTTCCTCTACCCTACCTCATTCCAATTCTTCAAGGAACCCACTGTTAAAGTTTGATGTTAGTCTTATAGACCTTTAAAACACACATACAAACATTTTAAAGTAAAGATGTATGTATGTATGTAATATACTTGTATGTATGCTGTAATATACTTGAGGTTTTTTGTTTTTGCTTTGCTTTTTGGTGCCGGGGATTAAACCCATGGCTTTGCATACACTAAACACATGCGCTGCCACTGAGCTATATCCCCAGCCCTAATGCACCATTTTTAACTAATCTTACTTCCTGAGGACAGCCTCTTGAGCCTCCATCTGAAGATGGAAACTTTTAGGAATTTAAATAGGGAAGAAAGGGAGGAATATTCTAGGACCTGTCCTCAGGAAGACCTTTCTCAACCTCCTTGAGCTAAGTGACCCCATTATACCTTATGTGGCCCTGGCTTAGTATGGTTCTGGGTGCTGGATTTATGTCTGTTCTCCTCACTAGATTTATAGCTCTTGCCCACCAGGGTATTCCTTGTGCTGTGCCCCGGTTGCCACAGTAGAGGTTTATCAGTAAATGCCTATGTGAATAAGCCCACTAATAAGCCTATGAGTTCACATATTATCTATAAGGATACTAATAAGAATACGATAAGCTTGGAATACTAAGTGGCTGTTAAAAAGGAAAGAGATTATATTTACTAATATGAGTGATACAATGCTTACTCTTTCCTTTTAATAGAGCTATAGACTATTTCATGGCTATGTTGTGAGCCACCAAAAGAGACTTGGAGAGGGGGTAGTTTGGAATTCAAAGTAAGTGACAACTGGTTTTATGCTGCACAGGGCCTAAGGCACCATCCTCTTGCTGGAAGGCCAGGACTGGGGCTCTAATTTCAGCTCTTTGATCTTGAGCTAGACTCTTTTTTCCTTTTTGCACGTGAAACATAAGGATAATAGTATGCCTTTTCTACCTCAGATGGTTCATGAGTGGGTCAAATGAGATGCTGTGTGGGAAAGTGCTTTGCAAGCTGCCATTTTCATAATGGATTACAAGGTTGCCTATACCACTGTGTTTAAACTCATTTCAGAGTTGAAGGAGAAGTGTGTATTTTTTCAGTATGTGCCGTGCCGGCACAGCAAAAGAATTGTTTGATTTTTTAAAAATGTCTCTCACATTGTTTTACATTTTAGAAGAAGCCATTGTGCTCTTTTGTACAGAATAATAGATAAAGTGATAGGAGCCTGGTCATCCAACGTACTTCAAAGGTACACAGAGCCAGACAAGGTCTGGAGGACACCTTGTTTGATCAAGAGGGTACAGAGGATTTTATTTTTTTTTTGAGGGATGATAAAAGAATTAGGGCTCTTCATTTTAGAAAGCCACAGGCTGAGAGAGGAATCTGATTGAAATTTATAAAATAATGAAAATCATAGGATAAAAATATGAACTTATTAAATTCCAGTGCATAAGAACTAGGGAAGACTTTATCATTTTAAAGAAATAGTTTTAGGGCAAAGTAAAAATAGCACTTTTTACACAGGCAGAGTAAGCATATAGAACTTATTACTCTCAAAGTTTGCTGGTACCAAAATCAAATATTATGAGAGAGATTTATATTGTTAGAGGATATATTCAAAGGAGAGCATAAAATGAAACTAAAACTATTTGTTGTAATCTCCCTGGTCTTAGAGGATATCACAGAGAGAGACCATTGAGCTTCCTGCTCTGGGATCTTTGTCTAAGTCAGGATTCTTCAGAGGACATGCTGTGAGTAGAAAGCACAGGATTTGGGCTCAGAAGACCTGCCTTCAGGTATGACCTCTGTGACCTTTGGGAGTCACTTCTCTTCTGTGTTCCTCAGTTTATTCATCTGTTAAAAACAAGGGAGGAAAAGATAGTAACATTAAAACCTGCTTTACTACTCTGAGAGATTCAAATGAAATGAAGTATCTGGAAGTGCTTTGTCATTGATAAGATGTTGTCCCTATGAACATGAGAATTTCCTCTTTTATTGTAGCATTTCCTGTTCTGTGCCCTCAGGTGTGTGACCTTCACTTTCCCTTCCTGACCCTGATCTCCTTAAGGATCAGTATTTACCAACTCAGAAGCGAAAGAGTGTACCTAGAGCA